AACCAGTAACTAAATGCTTTTCAATGGAAGGTTGCGATTTGCTTATGGCTGCATCCCAGCCTTGAGATGAGTGTTTTGTTTTCCCCTACATGACCTCTAGGTGGAGCTGTGCTATAGCAGAGTAGTTTAAGCACGCAAGAAGATCCCCGCATTGTCTAAAGCAGGGGTCCTCAAACTTTTTCAAGAGGGGGCCAGTTGTCAGGTGCCAGCGCTGGGCGCAGGCCACCAAGGCAGTGATGGCCGGGAGGCACGGGCCAGTGTGAGTGTGGGGCACGTGTGCACGTGAAGTGAGGCAGAGACGGGCGCAGAGTGAGGCGCCAGTTTGCTCGTGAGGAGATCATTTTCTCCAAGCGTTTCCAAAACGATCTCCTTGCAAGCAAGCTGTGCGCCCGCCTGCCCAGCGAGTGCAAAACCTGTGGGGTGGGCCGGTTAAAAGGGCATGGCAGGCCGAATCTGGCCCGTGGGCCTTAGTTTGAGGACCCATGGTCTAAAGAGCCCAGAACAAGGAAGGAACTACAAGTGCACAATGAACACCAGATGAAGGAAACTTCTAAGCCTCGGGGGAGGCAGCTCATCCTTTCGGAATGGGGGAACCGCACAAGACTGCAAAACCACTGGATGACTGGTGCTCGGGGAAAAGGAGCCATGGCCCTCTCATGACCCAGAGAAGGCGGGATGTGGCCCCTGGGCCCAAGGTTCTGCACCCCCAGTTTAAATCAGTTCCTCCCTCATGCATGTGCTTCCTTCCCAGCCACCGCCTGGAGGCTTTGCTGAGCTGGAGCGGGCAGCTTGGGTGGACGTTCAGAGCCACGGTGGGGCAACCCAGCATCTTGTGTGGCTCCCTCACTTTTCAGTGGAACCCAAGAGCAGGCGTAGCCCACCAAGCCTGTAAACCAGCCACAGAAACACAGCAAGCGCTTGCTCTGAGCGCCGCTCTGCCGGAGCCTCTACACGCGGGGCAGGAATATGGAGGCGGCCTGTGGCTTAGATGGCTTGAACCGATCGGTGGGAGCTTGTGACTATTCACAGCTACTAGGCAGGCACGACGGCTACAAACAACCTTGCAGTGCAGAAGCAGGCGGCCTCTGAGTAGCTTGGGAGCAACAGCAAGAGGGGGCCACCTGCCCTCATGCCCTCTATCTGGGCTGCTCAGCAGGGCATCTGGTTGGGATGCTGGACCACGGGGGTCTTGGTCAGAGCCAGCAGTTTTTCTTATGCTCTTATTTTATGCATAATATTTGTTGTTTTGTTTTTGTTTGTTTTTCGTAAGCCATCCATAGACTCTAGTATTGGATGGCATATAAAAACTTTAAATGAATAAATAATATTTATATTGCACCTTTTTCCTTCAAGGAATCCAGAACTCCCAAGTCCCAGTCCAACATTCTAACTGCTACACCGCACTGGCTGCCCTCGTGACGGATGGACTCTGTCCCTAGACTTGTGACATTCTGGCTGAGAAGGGTGGGTGCTGTGTTTCAGTATGTCTGCGTGGCACCAAGCAAGCCTCCCTTTTCACACGGGGGAACCGCCTTGGTGGCTTTATAAATGTGTCACGACCTGTGGCCCGTGGACCCCTGGGGGCCACGATGTTGTCGCAGGGGGTCTGCAAAGGCTTGAAGAAATGTTACGGTTTTTTGCAGTTAGACCTGAAATGAATGAAGGAGTGAACAAATGAAAGCAAGAGGGAATGGGAAATAGAACAACATCTTAATTTCCCATGCTTGTTTTGTAAACTTTGGTTTTTATAACCTATTGTCTCAATTAAAAACAATCAGAGGTATAAACTGGCTATGAGAGTAGCTGTCCGATGGCAAATAGCTGCATTTGGTGTTTCTGCACACACTGGGAACATGCCAGCGAATAACTCGGAGTGGCAGAGAGAAAGCACGTGGCATTTCTTGCTATTGCGCAGACAGTCAGAGATGCATAGTCGATGCGGTCCAGTGCTTTACATCTTGAGTTTAGTCTTGGTGGTCCATGGCCACAAAAGGGGGTCCGTGGTGAAGGAAAGGTAGAGAACCACCGTGTTACGACATTAAGCACTGCTTGCATGCCTCACCTTCAAAGAAGGTATGCTTTTTGTTTCAAAAAAATGGCTTTTAAAGCTACAACTAAAACTCGTATGATTCATCATATACATTTTTAATTAGGTGATAGCCCTCAGTAACATACAAGCTATACATAATTCTCTGATTCCATTTAATGTTGTTAAAAACCACATATGTGTTATCCATTGCATGCGTGTGCGCGCACACACACACACACAGAGAGGGAGATCTAGTTTATGATGCACAGGTCACATGTCAACAAATAAACAGATTTTTCCCTCAAGCCAAGAGGATTTCTTCTGTGAAACTTGCATAGGCTGCAGGACTCAGTTAACCCTCTCAGTTGCGGCACTTACAGAATTACTGACAGAATGTATAAACACCAATCCATTCATACACGGTAAGGGCTGTTAAGATTCTATAATGGTCTATAATTATGAGACGTTGTCTATAATTGCAACATTTATGTACCTACTGTGTTGGCCTGTGATGCACATAAAGGAGATCTGTGTGGCACAGAGCCTGGCACACCTGGACCCTTGACAAGGAGATCCATGAGCAAGGAGGAGCTTCAGGACCTACCTGGAGCTCCCATGTAAGCAGGCACATTCTCTGCAGTGCCCAACACCATTCTGGCATCTGTTGTTGAACTGACTGGCTCTTGGATTTAGATTGCGCAGGTTGGAGAAAAGGCAGGGACCTTCCAGGTCATTCAGTGGATGTGTTTACAATGGACCCATTCTTTGCTGGGTCTGACCATTAATAAGGAATGTGCCTAGAACACTTTCCATGTCCCCCGGTGACTGCAGAGTGCACAGAAAGAAGCAGTGGTGAACTAGCTGTATTTTGGGAAGGTCGTCTGCTATTCATCATGTCCTCTTGCAGGATAAGCTTCCTAGTAAATTTCCAAAGCCCGGGTTCCCTTGAAGATGGTCTGGTGTTCGGTGGGTACTTCATGTTGTATAGCATTAGAATATTCTTATGCCACAGGGTTTAGTATTTAACAATACTTGATAGCTGAAAGCCAGGACTGCAGAAAGCCCTAATTCATTTTCAGTCATCTAGCAGATTGCCAGGACAGAGGGTGCTCCGGGAAGCAGAATCTAGAAGCACTTTGGCTGTATTCCTGTACAGATCTAAAGCGTGCACAATGCAGAACTTGACCTAAGTGCAGGAAGCACTTGGCACACATCATGACGTTGCTGTCATGGACTCACTGGGAATCCGTAGGCAAGCATCTCCCCACGCTTTCTCTCTCTCAGACTTAGAGATCCCACATCTATAACAGTGAAATAGGATGGGTGTCCGTCCACCACTACAGCTCTGAGACCATGAAATCCAGGCAGCTGACACTTCCCATGCAAACTAGGGGGACCCAGGGACATGCACTTCAAGGTTATTTGGTTTTGAAGGCACGTTTCATGTGTCTGTTTGTAGGGTGCAGTACCACCTTCAGCCATTCAGCGGCGAGCTTCCCCAACCTGCACACAGATCCCCAGTAAACACAGTTTGCGTCCAGGAGAGGGGAAGGCTGAGAGGTTAATTTATAGAGCTCCCCCTCCCCTTGGGGTAGGGTAACCGCTCCCCCCTCCCCAGGAATGGTGGGCAGATCCCTCCCATGTGGCAACTCATGGCAGGGACCATGTCAAGAGGTGCTCGTGACCGTCCCTTCACTCAGGTGTGATGGGCAGAAGGTGTGCCACTCAAGCCTTCCTGTATCCCACAAGGGCAATTCCAGCCCACGAGAAGCTGCGTGCTTTTGCTAGGCTGTCCTGTGGGCATGATAACGCTGGGCCTCATCAGAGGGCTGCTGTAGGTTTTACTGAAAGGATGCATCCGGAAGCCTTGAAGGAGCTAAGAAAAAACACCGTGTGTGAATACTGTGTACTGTGTTATTACCGGTGGTCAGCCTGACAGCCTGCGAATCCATTCTCCACCAGTCCGTACAACCCAGGACCAAGCGGCCACAAAAACCCTCAGCAGCTGCAGTTAAGCGGCTTGTACACTAACATGGCAACAGATGACTCAAGTGAACGAGCCATGTCAGGTGTTGCCGAGGAAGGTAATATACGAAACATTGGCTCGAGGTGCATCTACAGTGCTGTTATGTACAGCGCATGGATTTCAGCCCACAGGTGGTTCTTGACGCATCAGCAGCTGCAGAGTCGGAATGTGAACCGCGAAAAAGGCAAACAGCAAGTGAGAGTCTGTCGAGCTTTCTGCATGTACAGATTCCATATAATAGACAGGCATGGAATTAGGTAGTTGCCTAAATAAGAAGATATTCATGCACATATAGGAAAAGGTCTTGATCACAGAATTCCCTTGTCCATACAGAGGCATAGCAGGAAGGCGGGAGCGAAGGGCAGCCAGGGCCAGGCCTTCTGAAGCAGTGGCTTCACAGTGAGGGACAACCTCTCCACGCACTTTTGGCAGCCAAGACTTATTTTCCTCTGACACTCAGTCTCACCTGGGCCCACTGCAACCCCTATGTGACCATAACTACAGATGTTGTCTTTGCAGGGATGTCGCTGCTGTGGCTTCCAGTCCCGTTGACTGTGATATTGCACAGTGCCTTGGGATGTTCAAAGAAACACATGACTACATTGTATAAATCAATAAAATGAAATTAAGTCCATATCCCTAATTCAGGAGGGCTTGCAGGTAATGGCCAGGTAGAACAACTGGGGGCCTTGGAGGGTTGCCAGCATGCAGCCCCCTTCAACCAGCCCCAGGAGGATGTTGCTATGCTGAAAGGGCATCATGAAAGGGCAGCAAATTAGTTATTTAATGTATTATTATTATTATTACTGCAGTGATGATGATGATTATTGCATTTTGACTGCCAGGGAAAAGGTGCTTCTGTGATTGCTGGCCTCAGGAGTTAAAATAATTTGAACGGGCTTGGGCAGAGCCTGTCTCACAGTGGGGGAGGCACCATTTGCTCCTCAGCTCCAAGGCAGCCACACACCTGGGGCCAATACACTTCTGCCTGTGCATATGCATCCACATCACCTGGGCAGGAGGAAGGTGCTTCTGCTTCTATAGATTTCCCTCACTGGACTGGATAGGGGAATGTGTTCAGTGAGAAGGATAGAAAAAGGGTTTCTAACAACGACAGAGATATCAGGAATGTGGGCTCATTGTCGAGGGCTGAAGCAGATCTGTGATCAATATTTCCTGATAGCCATTTTTCCAGTGTTAAATTATTCCCATAGGATTAGGGTGGGTTGATAGGAGGCGACTGAAGGAATGATGCAGCTGCTGTTTTCGAGATAGACAAGCAGCACCTAATGGGTACAGAAGCTTTTTGTGAGTCTCTGAACCTTTCCTACATTAATCCAGGAGGTGTCTGATGCAGGCAAGACGAAAGAGGAAAAGAGAGGCTGAGCTTAGGGAGGACATCGGTGAAGGGTGGAAGTGTCGAAGAGAGGGTTGTGGATCTCCATCTCACCGCTCTGTGGAAAGAGGAGAAGATGCTAATCCAGATGTTCCAAGACAGAGGGAAGGAAGGAAGGGGGGAAGGAAGGAAGGAAGGAAGGAAGGAAGGAAGGAAGGAAGGAAGGAGAAAGTTTCCAGTAGTCAGACTACACATGCAGCAGAATCATTTGGAACATTTCCCCCCCTCTTAGTCTATAGCATTTTAGGTTGCAAGTGGGAGAATTCTAGGTTTGAATGTGTCCTTTTCAAACAGAGAGGGACAGAGAAATAGCCTCTTTGTGCAAATAACAGCTCAATGACCCCCCCCCAAACCCTCACCTTCTTCCAGCCCTTTTCATTTTCTATGTGCAAGGAGCCTTTCTATCCTCCACCCAAAAGAAAACACTTAAGCCTGCGATCTCTCCAGTGCGAATGGCAGAGTCAAGGAGCACCATATGATTCTGCTGCATGCCTGCATTGGCTCTTGCTTAGTCCCTTGTCTGTCCTCCGGTTTTGCCACGGAGTATCCCAAATGGAATATGGGCCAGTGGTGGATTAAAACATTGCTCCAAGTTAAACGTTCTGCAACTTTGCACAATCCTTGTATTTCAGGAAAAGCTGGCTTGCTGAGCAACCCCTGGGCCAGACTTAGGGAAATCAAACAGCCTTTGAATCTGTTGTCGCTTTCTCCAACATCCCTATATACAGCTGAGGGATATCACTGTATTTAACATATACAAGCTCTTATCAGTTGTCATGTTGGAGAGAGTAGGCTGGGCTTCAAGTGTGTTGTGGTTTATAATCTTTCTTGTTTTGGTCAGAGGGCCTAAGCGAGTTTGGAGTAGGGGAGTTGTACATATCAGTGCAACACACACACACACACACACACACACACACACACACACACACCCTCAAAGGTAATCTCCTTAAAACTAATACATACCAACTATTTAAAAAACATTTTATTATACTATTGAACTTACTTGCCTAAGGCATTTTAATTTTGTTCCTTAACCAAGGAGTCTTCCGGCCTCCTTGGGCTGTACAGCACAGACTCTAAGAAGGATTCATACATACCGGGGCCAGTCCTGGACACTCGTACACGGTGTAGTCTCCGCTTTCAGTCTCTGATTCTGTGGACAGCTGAGCTACAGGTTTTGGCGATTCTCTACTGTGGAAGAAGGCAAGAACACAAAGTGAGAGATTTTAGCAGGTGGAAACATTCCCAGCCCCCACAGGTCTACATTTACTCTAAATCGCCTGGCCAGCTATCCCCATTTCACAAAACACATGCCCGTTTCTCCTTCCATTGCTCTTCAGGGCCAGCCTTGCTGCACAACAGGGGAAAAGACCCTGTTCACACAACCCCATGGGGTTAAGGCAAAGAAGGAGGAGGCAGTGTGTATCTGAATGGGTCCATAAAGCTTTTTAAAGTGTTGGTTGGGATCCCCAGGGAGAGATTTGTATTCTGTTTGAGGCAGTGAAATGTCAGTCAATCATCTCTCTTATTTAGAGCCTGCCCCATACCAAAACATTATCTGGGCAGCTCACAATGGAGCAAAGTAAAAACTAAGCAGTACTACCAGTGGCAAAAATAGAATTAAGATCAAATGCAGCATTCAAGCAGGTGAAATAATGCCAAGAACAAATCCAGGAGGCAAAAACAATCTTATCTGCTACAACATGATTTTCAAGGCCTTTGCATATCCTACACATAAAATTGCACCTTTTGACACATAGGCTTGTATATCAATTGAGCGACAGCCCTGCCGTTTACCAAAGAAACTCTGCCGTAGAGGAGCGGCGCCCTACAAGGGCAAGCCATTCCTGCCACTGTGCCACTTTTGACCACAGGCGCTGGACTGCAAGGTGGTGTGGCGGCAGCGGAGGGGCGCCCTGCTGCATCCTTCGTAGGCAACTAGCACAAGACAGAGAAAACATCGACAGAACCTCTCTGGCGTCTGGTTTTCTAAGCAGTGTCTTGTGGGTGCTTTATATATTATACAGAGCAGCATTTAATGTTGAAATTTCCCACCTACGTGCTGAACTGAAACAGTCCACGAAGAGTTGTATGGGGGGAACTTGTGGAGAGAGCCCTTCCACCTGCCCCTGCAACAGGCTCTTCAGGCCGGAGGTTTCCCACAGGTTGCCAGAGGTCTTGTCGCTCGAAGTGCTGGGAAGCGAGCCAGCGCCCTTCCCTCTTCTCCGCCACTGAGCTGCAGCCATTCCTTCCCTCATTATTGTGCCACAAACAGCTCATATTTCATTCCCCACAAAGACCTGGCCTCCCCATGGGGAATCTCGTTATGGCAGGTGCCATTTTGAATATCTGAGGGGCAGCAGGGGGAGGCCAGAGTTATTACATGAGAACTGGGCAAGTGTGGGTTGCTGGGATGCTTAACAAGCCACCCACAACCCTGGGACGGTTCACATGCTCTGGGTGGCTTGCTAAGCACCCCAACAACCTACCTGTCCCAGGACTGCACACAACAGCAAGCCACATCGTGCCCCTACCATGGTGCGACTCTTCAGAATGGCAGCTGCCACTGCCAGAAGACACCCCAAAGGGAAATGCACTCCTGTTGCTTCTCCCTGGGACCCAGGGCAGAGAGTTCTGAAAAGCAGAGCACTTACTCCTCCCCGGTGAGCAGCTTCTTCTGATGTTGATAATGGTGCACCTGGCAGGACTGAGCTAGCCTAGAGTCCATGTACTGAGGGGGATCAGAAAGAACAGAAGATGAAGGCAAGTCCAGCTGGACCAAAGCAAAGACCTGTCTAGTCCAGCTTTATCGTTCTCACAGATGCCTCTGGGAAGCCCAGAAACACTTTGAGAAGGAAAAAGCACTTTCCTGCCGCAACTTTCCAACAACTTGTATTCAGAGGCATTCTTCCTCATTTGTTGGAGGTGTTATGCAGCCATCCTGCGGAACAATACCCTTATCCCCCATGCATTTCTGGAAACCCTTTTAAAACCGTCAAAATTTGTGGCCATCACTACATCCCGCGGTAGTGAATCCCTAGCTCAACTCTGCTCTGTATGAACTGCAGGCTTCATTTGCCTGTCCCGAATCTCCCGCCGTTCATCATCACCGGCTGACCCTGGGTCCCCGTATTCTGAACTGAAACTGGATGGGCATTTCTAGTTTCTTCCCCTTCTCACCCGCCGGAAAAGGATCAACAAAGAGCACCTACTGCACTGGGCTGGTGGTATCGGTACTGGTTCCCCCGCGTGGCGGTGTATGCCATCTTCTGAGCCAAGTGCACCTCTTTCTGTAGCCTGGAAAGCGACCGCAGGAACTTGCGATAAGCCTCTGCCCACCCCTGTGCTCACTGAACACCGTGCGCGTCGGCAGCAAGGCCGCAAGCCTGCGTTATATTCAGAGAGCATTTGGCCAGGCACCTGCATAGCTGCAGAGCGGGGTCCTCAAACTTTTTCCAGCTGAAAGGTGCTGGTGGTGGGCGCAGGACGCCGAGGTGGTGCCGGCGTGGGCTGGTGAGGGGGTGGGGCCGGGGGGCGCGTGCGGCGAGGCGGCTGCTTGCTCGCACAGAGATTGTGTTCTCTGAGCGAGTCCAAAACGATCTCCGGGCGAGCAAGCCGGCGCCTCGCCGCATGCGATGACTTCAAAACCTCTGAGGCAGGTCGGATAAAGGGCATGGCGGGCCGGATCCGGCCCGTGGGCCGTAGGTTGAGGACCCATGTTATAGAATCATTTCATGGGATAGCTTAAATACCTTGTCTACAGCAGAATGGTACTTATTTCTGAGTAAATGCATTTCACATCAGGGCTGCAGAAGCAAGTTCCATCCTGCTCCTATGATGATGAAGGTAGTATGATTTAAATGAGTTTAAAATGTGAAACTGCACATATTCAGAGTATTTTGAAACAAGGAGGGTAATTAGGTAGGGGATTTGTTTTAGTTTTTGTTCTAACATATTAGAAATGGAATTGTGAAACACTTGCTAAAAAATTGGAAACAGCTGCAAAACTGAATGGCAGTGCTGGAAGCAAAGATAATTTAACTAAGTGTTTTGGGATTCATGTATGAGAATCTCTTAACTGGGGGTGGGAGCGGAAGGAGACCACTCAGGGTTTCCCTACATGAGAAGTTCAGTCTGCCTCCCAGGGTCTCTCCTGTACTTTCCATTCTTTTTCATAGCTTTTATAAAGATGAGGATAATGCATAGATGGATTTCATGGATGCTGCCAATATTCCCTATGGGAATCTTTATGTAAAGTTCAAATTCTGCTCTATATTACTACATTATGATATTGTACATATAGAAAGGCAGCAAGGAGAACCCTGGGAGGGAAGGGTTGGGTAAAAAGATATTCTTCCTCCAGTAAAGAAAATGCAAGAAAAAGCTGTGCTAAATGCCCCATGTAAGGAGCTTCTTCTGTTTTCACTCTGGAAGGAAAATGCATCGTTTCCATGTTTTCTCGGCATTTCTAGAGATTCTCGCAGCCAAAGGTGGTGCTGTGGTACAGCTGCCGTACAGAGGAATTGCTGCTCTATACCAGGCCTTTATTCAGGTTCGTTCAGCTTTCAGTCTTAACACCAGGCTGTCCTTGCTCTACATAAAGCCATGAAAATGGCTAGAAAACTCGGGCAAGGCCTTGGAGGAGGACAGCTTTGTGAAAAAGCCCTGCCACCTTCCATGAGTGAGAGATCATAAGCGCTCAATAAACGTTTTGTGTACAGACACCTGTAATCCCTCCCCCATGTTGTCTTTTTGGCAGAAAGTTGGATTTTAACTTCCTGAGGGCAAAAAACCCACCAGGGCTGATCATGTTATGAAAACCCAGCCAGCAGCCCCAGCTCTGATCACTACATCCGTTTGCTTGAAGGTTTTGCAGTTCCAACAAAGGGCTGTTCCAACTGTGCAAAAGCAGTTCCGTTTGCCTATACTGATCCCAGGAGGAATAAATTAAAAAGGACCCTGGTGAGTCTTACCTGTACCAGCAAATGGCAGCAACCACCAGCCCAGAGACTCCAGTCACGGTGCACATCACCACAAGAGCTGTGAGGAGCACAATTTACCCATTTGAGTTCCAGATACAAAGGAAAAACCAGGCACCCCATGTAAGGCACCAGGCACCACGCTCCTAGTGGCACGTGCCCCCTGCTCCCCTCTGCATGCACCCCCGAGCTCTCTCGCCACCCTCACCCCCAGTTTCTTGAAGTACTCATACTCACTGAGGGTCACCGCTTTGTTCAGACTGGTAGCTGGGGGTCGGGATCGTTGCTTGAAATCCAGATTCACCCTCCTTGGGGCTATGGTGGTTGAGACCGGGGTGTTTTCATACGACTCAGAAGAAGCCGGCACGCTGGTTGCAGAATAGGAGGCGTTGGTGGGGCCAGAAGTGGGGAAAGTGGTTGGAGAGCGGGGAGGCGGGGAGGAGGCGGGAGATTCAAACATCCCAGTCCTGTCTGGAGAGCAAGGAAGAGATTCCACTGCAGCACCCCATTTTCGTTGATCGAACCACCCCCCACTGGCACATCCTCTTTGGGTGCTCCCAGGTGACCTCCGGAATGTAATGGCGTGGCTAAACCTACAGGCATGTGCTTTGGGTTAAATATACAGGAGACTGGCAGACGAGTTAGCCTGTCCTTTAGGCCACATGCCAGGACTTTTTAAAAAAGCCTTACCATATGTGCTGAAGATCGCCAAATGTGATTTTGGGGGCAAGGTCTAACACCAGGAGATTGGAAATAGGGGATAGACCAGCAGCAAGCCTTTGATGTTGTGGACAATCACAGTTGTAATGGACCGTACCCAGGGAAGGCCCTGCCATGAGAGTGGAAGGGCATACAAGACCCAAGTGCTTGGGTGGGCACCTCCAGTCCAGTGCCCTCCATGAGCTTTTGGCTCGGTGGTTTGTCTGAGTACCAGATGGACTATCCAGTGTACTCCCATCACGCCAGTAATAACCAGAACATGTAGGAAGGTGTAACTGCTGTGTGTGTGTGTGCCCCATAAACTAAGGCTTGGAGCACCCCAAATATGACACCATCCTGAGAAGCGTCCTTTACAAGATGCACAACTTTGTGTTCAACCCAGTGCTTCACGGGGAGGCACAAACCACTGTCAAATATGACTCCCACACACCAATGAAAGAGAAGGTTCTCCAAAATGGACAAAGGGCTGGGAGGAGTGTATGCACCCCAAACAAGCCTTTGGGCCATCCTAAATCATATGCCCAAGCCTCAGGGAGCATGGCTTCCCTGAGAAGCCACAGCTCCCCCAAAACTTTGTTGGGGTACATGATGTTGTCAAGCATGGCACCCCATTCAAACCACAGCCACGTGCATAGAGATGAACACAGATCTAGACATGTGCTGCCTGCAATAAGCTGTAGGCCAAAGCAAACGGATAGATGGATTACCCTGTTCTACAAAGAGGACAGGGGTCTAGATGGCTTTGGGATCAGTCTAGGTCCATGGCTACGAGCCCTGTAAAAATAATACATTTTTGGCTACAGATGTCTAACATTGGTATATATACACCTACCAGTTGAAAGATCTTTGCCTGAAACCTAGTCTATTATGAGCATTGCTCAGGTTTGCCCTGGTCCTCTCCAGTTCTTTTGGACTACAATGCCTATCCTATCCTAGCCAGCATAGTCAATGTACAGAGATAAGAGCTGTAGCCCAACAGCCTGCCCCTAAGATATCTGAAAATCTGTTCCCATAGCCAAAGCATCTCTAGGGTGGTTTAATAAAATGCAGGTTTAAATTTAATAGGTTAACTTGGCAGGTGCTTGATCAAATGGTTATTGTTTATGAGGTTTTCTCCTACCCAGAGTACTTGACAAAGATCACCCTTTCCATGCAGAAAGCTTCCGTGTTCATTTGCTGGCATCTGCAAGGAGAACAGGGAAAGGCTCCTGTCTCAAACCCCAGAGAGCTACTACTAATTAGTGAACAAAAGTAAGATTTGGGTATGGTCTGACCGGCAGTAAGGCAGCTTCCTGTGTTGTGCACCCCAGCAGCACCCCAGTGTGAGCCAAGGAGGGCTTGCATACCAGGAGGGATGGTCTCTGTGCTGGGTTGTCGCAACCCCTTCTCGTGCTTGGCCAGGAGCGAACGGATGAGACCAGGCAAGTCTTTGGGCCTCTTCTGGGTTTTTGGTTTGCTTTCTAAAAGAAAAGGGATTGAGAGAGAAAATTAAATCCTTAATGCACAACTTCCAGATCCACTGCTTCTCCCCAGTAGTCAAAGGGACACATTACAGCACCATTAATGGACAGGTGCTACTTTACAGAGGGATGTGAGCAAGAAGGATGAGCCCAAGGAGCTTATGATCTCAGTTTACATGGGAGAAAACACCAAGTCCCTTAACGAAGCAGACTTAAGGGATGCCACTCAGAGTCAAAGGGGGTACGGATGCAGGTCACAGCAATGTTCCGACTAAGACCAGCACCTCCACTGGATGTGGCCATTGAAAGCTTCCACAGTAGAGTCCTTTTGAGCTGTTGAGGAATTATTATTGTCATTTCTTGAATTTATATATCCTCCTCAACCATAGGTTGTGCTCAAGGTGGTCAAGACCAACAGAATACAGGGTAAAATATGAAATTATAATCAAGATGCAAAAGCAACTGAGTGAACGACACAGCGATAGCATTAAGACTGGAGAGGCAGTGGTGGTGTTATGGTTAGTGTGCAGCCCTGGGATTTAGGTTCTAATCCCCACTCAGTCATGAAGCTCACCGGGGGTCTTAGGGCCAATTACTGTCTCTCAGCCTAGCCTACCTCACAGGGTTGTTGTGAGGATAAAATAGAAAAGGAGGAGGACTGTGCAAACTATCTCCTTGGTTTTGCAGGAAAAAGGGCAAGGTATAAATACAATAAATAAATAAGCCATAAACAGCCCCCTCCAGTTAGAACCTATTTTGGCATACTCACAGGTCCATTTAGAGGCCAAAGCACTGTCTGAATAGGAACATTTTTGTCCTCTAGCGGAATGACATCAAAGGGGGAGCTGCAAGGCGCCTGGAGCAGCCACTGAGAAGGGCCTCCCTTGCGCTCGCACTCAATGCACCTGCCGTGATGGCGGGTCAGCAACAATTCTGCCCCACAGCAAAGCAGTAAGGGCCTGCTGTAACGTAAGGAAGCCATTATCCCTACAATTTACAATTATATTGTAAATTCGTTTTATATTTTTAATGTATTATATTTTAATGTTTTGTGAGCCGCCCCGAGGCTTCGGCAAATGGGGCGGCATAGAAATTTTCTAAATAAATTTTCTAAATAAATAAATAAAATAATTCCAGTATCTGGCCAGTAGTTTGGCTACCGCATTCTAGACCAACTGAAATTTGAAAGGGAGCCTCACACAGACCACATCATGGCAGTCAAAGAAGATATAACTACAGCCTGTGCTCTTACCTGTGCTCTTTCTGGTGCCAGGTGAAGGCATCTGAGACGTTTTAATCTTTCAGTTTCACTGTCTTAAAACTGTTAAGGCACAGGCCTACAGAGATGAACATCAGCCCCTGAACTCAGGGGCTCACCCTCAACAAGGAGCACTGTCTCCATGGCTCCGCTGCGTTTTTGCGGGATGGCTGTCTTCCACTGTGGCAGCATTACAAAGGGATAGGGAAGGATGCTGGGCCTTGCACCCTGGCCTCTCCAGCCTTCTCCCTTCCCTGTCCCTGCAAATGTCCCCTTTAACTGCTCTCCACACCAGCTGCAAAGAGGCAGCAAGAAAGGAGATCCAAGGTTCAGTTCCCAGCAAAGAGTCTGGAGCACCATCTCTGACCTCAGAGCTGGGAATCCAAGCTATCCTGTGGTCCTTCAGTTAATGTATTGGGGCCATAGGACAGTTCCCTGCATTTATTTTAAACTGCAGTGCTGCTGCTAAGTTTTATTTTGGTTTTTATTTTATACTGTACTTTGAAACTTTTATTTTTATTCTATTATATTGTACTTTATGGCTGTCCTTGTTGTGGGCCACCCAGAGAGCTCCAGCTATTGGGCAGTATATGGAATGTAATAAATGAACAATAAATGTGCCACTGTGGCCAGATCTGATAGTTCCAGAAACTGGCACGGTTGGCACACTTGCTTTTGACTTTAAACGCATTCCTTCTTGCCTGTTGCCACGATCTAGCTATCCAGCTTCAAGCAGAAATCCTGGAGCACACCCAAACTGCAAAATGGCGTCTTCACGGCCAGTACAACCCTACACAATACTGATTTGCTTAGGAAAAGAGCTACAGTCCTACAAGAAAGGAAGCCGGGAATGAAGAGAGATAGAAGGAAGAAGGAATTTGGACAATCACAGAGAAAATCAGGTGCCTTGCCCCACTTCCATCTCTGCCTCTGAGCACTATTTGTTTTGCAGAATTGTTATTTGGACAAAGGATGTGCGTGCTGAGTCGAGTCATTAACTACCATAAAGTGAACGTTCAAAGGGTACAGGCCATACCTTGCTTGGGGACCTTCTTTGGCACGCAGTCACCGCCGGAGTCCTCCTCATAATTGGGAAAGCAGGGGCCGCAGCTGGGCGCCCCCTCAGGCCCACAGCCCAGCCGTCGGCGCAGCAGGCAGTTGAGCTTGTACCTGGCAGGGCAGAGGGGGTCTGCGAAAGAGAACAAGAAGAGGTGTCACTTGCCAAATATCCTCAGCCCCAGCTGGTTCGGCCATGAGAACTTGGAAGTCCTGGCTTCTGAGGCCGGACTTCATGTTACACAGCAGCATCTTCACCCTTTAATGCACAAAGAGTTGCCAAAAATGAGGAAATGCCTCAGCAAAATAGAAGGCGCAGGTCTGCATAGAATGTTTGTGTGCTAATTGACATGTGATTGTGTAAACAACCACAACGTTGCAGAAATACTGTACATCCTGTCCCACACGGGGAAGACTGTGACTTGGTTGCCTGGCATTTATTTATTTACCCAGGTGTTCATGGGCGATGGGCAACTTCAAGGCCAACCTGTGTACGTGTGCATGTAGCTTAAAGGGAACGGCTGGCCGGGTGACCTCTCCCTCCATGCGTCTTAGCGCTGCAGTCCTTCCAGCTGCTCTCCACTTCGGTGAGGCCGGCTGGGAGAGAAACGGGCTGGGGTCAAGTGGCACTGCTACCTACATGCCCGTCTGGGGCATCCACGGGTCTGCTGCTCTAACCCTGTTGTTTGGACCCCTGGTCTCATTACCCATCCTTGCCCATCGGACTCCATTTTTCCTTCTGCAGTGCATGAGGCTCTGAACTAACACGGTGAACACGGTGTCCTGAGAACTCTTGAAGCGAGTCCTCCATCACCCCCTTGGAAGCCACCAGGAGTGAGCCTCTTAGTTTTGCACCTCATATCGCGGCAAACTAACTCTGGCCGCTTTTGGCTTCCTGCACAGATATTTACATTTAAGCTTTACAAGGTGCAGCAGGCAGGATACACCAGTCTGTGCAGGAACCTCTTTAGTTTCCAAGGCATTGCGGTCTAAATTAGCTGCTCTGTGGCTGCAGAGCAACGGACACCATGCCAGATCCTCTGTGCTTATAGTGCAATCCTGTGCCACACACCAGAGCACGGTGCCGCAATCACGGAAGCACCAGAGGCAGTTGCAAAGTAGTCACTAAAAGCAGGAGGTCCCCTGACTGGTTCAAATTTTGTCTCAGTCATGAGCTCGCTCAGCTTCTTAGGAAAGTCATACTTTCTTCAGCCTGTGGGATGATGATAATATTCACTTTACCTAACCTGTAAGGATTATAATTAGAACAACTGAAAGTACCATTATCATTATCCGCCGCTGCCGCAGCAGCAACATGGCATAAGCCCCAGAAAACCAGGATATTTTAAAATAAGAAACAAATGAATGCTGTAATTGTGCACCTTAAAATGTAGTGTCAACATAGCAAATGCCCGTACTTAAGAGGGGTCTGTTCATCTTGTGATTTAACTTTTTGAACAGGAAATAGAGGCAAGCAGAGTTGCCACTTTGTTTGGGCTTTTGTGGGCTCCTAACAGGCAAAAATTAAACAGGTAAAGTGTTTCCAGTCCCTGCATTTCTGTATTAAGGGATGCTGTACCTGTTGAATGTCTGCCTGTCACAGGGCTATTAAAAGCTCAAGAAGATTGTCAAGAAAGAGGGAGTCCGTGTCCCTTGAAATTTGGATGGATCCTGTGGGCACAGAAGCCACATACAGCAGGGCTAATAACGGAAGGCTGCCAGCCAGGATGACTTTGTCCTCTATCATGAGTTAAGTCCCGCCTGTTAAACACTGAAGGTTGAAAGCAAAATACCCCACAATTCTCTGAAAAGGAAGCAAGTCGAGTCCTTGACTTAGACCCGGGATCAGAACTGTGAGTGGAAAGGAAGAAGGAACCGGTCTTAGCCAGGGCTTGTAAGCCAGGGCTCCTCTCTGGAGCACAGGGCAGAGCCATCAAGAGAAGAGCATGTACAGAGTGCCCCCATCTCACTCGCAGTCTCCCAAGCCCAGCCCCCAACATATTTGGAATTTAGCTGAAGGAGCTCCAAGCCAAGGGGAAGGCTGGCGGGCGGCGTTGGACTCCCCGAGCGGGTCGAGTAAGTTAGCACAAAGGGAGCCACAAGGAGGCAGGGCTGCGACGAGCCTCCCGGCGCCAGCCTAGCCCAGCGCACCACATTTCTTCAGCCAACCTGCCTCCATCGCCTCCTTCGTGCCCACTGGCTTATTGTTCCCCGGCTGCTTTTTATCCCTTCCTCTGCTCAGATGAGCGAAATATCTCTTGCATGCTCTATTTTCCTCCCCCCTCCCCCATCCCCACATTTAGCCGCTTCCCCTCCTCTTGCATCCTTTGCTTGTGCCACATCTCCCGAAACCCCAAATCCGCACCCCTCCCTACCCACAACCAGGTGCCCCCCTCACCTGCTTCCCAGTTGGCCCCCGTGGCTACCAGGAGTGCGAAGAAACCCAGGCATCGTATCGCCTTGCTCAGCATCTCTCCTGTCAAAGAATGGATGGCTCGGGTGGGGGGGAAAGAGTATCCCCCCCAAGCTATAGCAGGGGGTTGGCCCCCTTTGCAGCTGCTGCTGGCATGCAGCCGAATGCGTGAGAAGACCTGGCGCGGGCGGGGGAGGGACTGCGGATCTTTATGAATGAACTAAAGATGGGAGGGTGGACGGGGGGGGGGGGGGTGGTGGAGAGGGAGGGAGAATTCGGCACAAGGAAAGCGCTCCTTGAGTATGTGCCACCTTGGGGGAGGAATGGGGACAGACTGATGGACGGGGAGCCGGAAAGAGTGACAGGTTAATTGGACAGAGAGGTAGAAGCTTCTATAGCAGATACTGTGGGTGCAGGACTGAAGAGCACAACCCTTGAGAGTTGGAGGTCTGGTAATCACAGGGCCCATCGTTGTGGGAAGCAATGACATTTATGCGCACACATCATATCAGTTGTATAAATTCTTTGCAGAATCCCAGTATCTGTCTCCCAGTTTGGAGGAGGGGGGGTTAAAGTTCTTGAAGTGTGATTATGCAGCATGTCCAAATGGAAAATTCCCAAGATCGTTTAAAGTCTGTTGATACTGTAGAATTCTTACTTTCATTTGTTTAAAAACCAGTGATTTCTTTCTTTCAGGCTTAAGACCTATTCCTGTAATGGACACATAAGATTATAAAATGTAGGCATGGGTACATGCACACACATATGCATACCAGAGTCAGACAAGCACATTGTAATGGGACAGTCTATACAAACTTTAAATAAATAAATTAGATAAAGCACATCTGAGACATGTGCCCATGGGTCTCCTACTGCACCTTGATGCGATTGCTCCTGGACTCAGAGGCTTCCAGCTACCCAATGTAGGATGAGAGGATTGGCGGAGATTATCTTCCCCACCTTCCCACTCTTTTGCCCCTCCAATGTCAGCACTTCAGGGGAGGGAAGGAGGCTGAGAGAAGCTCGGAATAATTTGTTTCCTTGCCTCTCAGGTCTCTTCTCCTCCCTATCCACTGAAATGTTCCCTTTTCCCCATGATCAATGTTGTTTTCTGACTTTGGAGGCAGGGCCGCTGGCTCAGTTCTTTCCATGCCACCAGGGGGGGTCAGCTCTCTGGCTCCCCCTTTCGAGGTTGGAGTGCCATATCTGACTTTGGAGGGGAGGGTCCCCACAACATAGGGGCAGGCAACTGTGTCCTCCTAAATGTTTTGCCAGATTACCTCCATCAGCCAGCACAGCCAGTGGTGAAGGATGATGGGAACTGGAGCCCAAAACATCTGGAGCATCAGAATGCCTATCTCTGCTATACACAGTTAACTGGGATTAAGTCTCATTGAATCCACTGGGGCTTACTTTTAAGTAGAAGATTGTGTTGTTGATTGCATTGCTAGAACAAATGTGTAAGCCAGAGGGCTTCCTTCACCTTGTGCACTCAATTCATTTCAGAGAAACTCTTAGGGCCACATTCCTATGGTGGGTGCGGCTGAAAGCAAAGAAGGCAGAATCAGAATGTAAAAACAAAATAAAAACAACAACCACCAGTATATTGTAGTTTAAAGCTCTTGCAACCAATAAATAAGACATTGCAACTTTTAGACTGCACAAAAACCAGGCGATCTGGGCCATGAACTAAGTTTGGGCCAGTGACAGACTCTCAGCCCAACCTACCTCACAAGGCTCTTGTGAAAATAAGATTGAGCGGAGGAGAATTATGTAAGCTGCCTTGAGTTCCTTGAAAGGAAAAAGGTGTGCTATAAATGTAATAAATAATGATAGAAGCCAGGAAAGCATCAAACCATGTACTTCTTCCAATAAGTTGCAGTATCTCAATTTTGGGCAAAATGTGCTTTCCTAACACTGCAGCCTTATACAAGACTGCCACCTGAGCCCTTTTAACTTTCAGAGTAATTTTACATATTAAGTGTGCATAGAATAGGATTACACCCTAAAGTGTATTAAAAAAAAACTATGAAACTATTGCTTCTGATGATCACCCAGCATCTAGTCACACCTCAACAAATAATGCCTCTATATTTGTCAAGGAGTATCTTCCCGTGTTCAGAAATTCAAAATCAGTCTTAAATGTCTTTATTATTGGGATCCCCCACTAAATAAATAAGTGAACACTTTGTCCTGCACCATAGCTGCTGTTTCTCAAACCACTTAGGGATAAAATCCAGCTCTGGCAATAGAGGCTCGTGTGTTTTCAGTCTCTGTGAAGACACCTTCCCACAGTGAACAGATGGAGTTACAAACACTTCCTAGAGGTGACTATGCTCTCTTTTGGGGAGCTTGTTTGCTGGGGAGACTATTTCAAGTTAATTTAAAGTGTAGACACAGCATTTCTAGGTCATTATTAGCTTGCAGTCTCAGGTTCCAACCTTTTTCTCGTGTTAGGATAACAGAAAACAATGCAAATATTTGCAAAATCAAATGCCATTAGTATAGGGTACCTTTAAAATGAGCACATTTTCCTAGTCTGTCTTCCAGAAAACCAGGTAGAAAATTTACCAATTTTACAAAGGTGTAATTCCTTGATATGATAGGATAGTAGTAGAGTTAGAAGGGGCCTATAAGGCCATCGAGTCCAACCACCTGCTCCACGTCCACATGGGGTCACCTGTCCAGCTGCAGGCCCACACCTTTCCAGGTGAGCAAAGGTGACCCAGCAGGCTAGCTCCATGTATAGCTATGCAGGCTTAAGGCTTGATGATACAGTACATCGAAGTATGATTTGTGTAGTCTGTGGATGCAATTGTGTCCCCGTGTGCTTTGCACATGTACTCTGTGCCCATTTCCAGTTTTTGTGTTGCGCTCATGGCATATTTTACTAGTCTGGTCTCACATAATCTGCAGGAAATAAGCTTTTGCTTGGGTTAGAATTCCACTGCTGACAAAGAGCCCTCAAATCCTGGCTTCTGTCTCAAAACCAAGAAAGAAAGGTTAGTCCTGCCACATTAGTCCTGTACAGGATACATTAGCCCTGCTACCATTTTCCTAGCAGAATTCCTATGATTTTTCAAGCTGCATGGCAGGTAGGAAACCAACAGGTGCTCCACATCCCAGCACAGAGATGCACTGACAGGGAAAGCATCGCCTGTTGAATGCCTTAATTTTTGTGCCAGTGTTCTGCCACAGAGCGGGGTGTGTGGGGATGACATGAGCCAATTGGTGAGGCCTAGTGAAACCTTCTCCCCTCTCCTTCCATGCCAATGGTTGCTACAGCAACTGTCTCTCCTGGTTGCCATACCATAAATTCCTCCAGCTTGGACTCTGGTGTTGCCATGACGATGAAATGGCAGAGCGGGGAGGAGAGTGAGGCTTCCTTCTCCTCTGGTTGGGAAGTGATGCAGCTGCTGATGGAGAGCAGGATGCAGCAAGCATGGGCCAGGATCCGCCAGTGGCATATCCGAGGGAAAACTGGGGGTGGGAAGAGAAACATGACTGTACATTTTTACTTCTTTTACATGTAAATCATATTGGACAAATATACTTCCTATCCAAATGATGCAGACTGGTTTGTTACAGGAAAAGTTTACATTTAAACGCAAGTATGGTCTTGGAATTCCTGATATTTGGCAGTGGCAAGTGGCAAGAGAAACACAGGTGATGTGATGGATGAAAAGAACAAAGAAGGAAAGAAATTATCTCACAGAGAACAAAGCCACGCGGGTGAGAAAGGATCGTAACAATGAATTTTGCACAAAACCAAGAGCAGGAATGGTGAAAAATCTTCCCTCGTGTGGAGGTTTGGCAAAGTGAAATTTTAGCGACAGCTTCCACATTCTTTTCTGTGTGTGAGCTGATGCAAGGGAAAGCCATTTGCGGAGCAAGGGGAATTCAATGTCATGCCACTGGCTGATCTGTTGATTTATTGTAAACAGAGTCTTTAACCACACAGGCCTTTGCCTGCGTCTTTGAGAGTAAGTAAGTTCTCTTCAGCCTCTGCAGAACAAACGCTGGGTCGGGCTGTTATGTTTGGGCCCTCTTGGTCCAGGGCAGCCTTTCCCCATCTGGAGCCCACCAGATGAGTTGGATTGCAACTCCCACAAGGGCACAACACTGGGGAAAGCTGAGCTAGAGTCCCCAGTGGGAAAGGGAAAGGCTTCTGCACCTTCCAGAGGTGGGGGATCGAAGAAGGAATTTCTGTAAGTACAGTTGCCGTGCAAGGGTGAGAAAAATGGCACCTGAAAATTTATTTTACTCACAAAAATATTTTAGACACTATTCCAGTATAATTCATCCAATATATAAGATGTGAATAAAATAATTATATGTTAAAACCAAGACTTTGACATGTCTTCTTCATTTAAGCAATCACATTGTTGGGATTCTGAATAAAATGTTTTACATGCATGTTTCTGTAAATAAAAACAATAACTTCAAATCTCTTGGGAAATATTTATTTTTATTTGGCTGTGTGGCTGTGAAAGGGAGTCTTTTCAAATGGTCTGTCAAAAATAAGAGATTTGCCTTTCCTCAAAGCATTTCACTTAGAGGTGCACAGGTGAAGGACTTCTGACTACTGGAAGGCTTCAGCAGCATAAATGGATTAGAATAATTATTGCAAATATGCTTATTGTTGGCCTGGTGATGTTTGGTAAATTCCAGAAAGAAAAAATGGAGAAACGGCTGTGAGGGTTATATGAGCAATAGAGTTTTACAGGTAATATGAAGTAATAGGATAGTATGAAGTAGTTTGAACAGGGGAAAAGGAAATTCACTCCCCAAAGAGGTCCACCTGGCACTGTCGTTACTTGTTTTTCGGCGCCAGGTAAAGACCTTTTTATTTAAACATCATTTTAATTGTTAAAATATATAATCTGGCCAGGGCAACTTCTTCTTCCTTCTCTATTCTCCTCCTATATTCTTTATTCACTTATTTTATACTGTTAATTTTAACTTTATATGATTATGTGGGTATCCCAGCATATTCTTTGTATTTATGTAATTGGAGGTAATTTATTATGTACTATTGTACTTCAATGTATTTTATTG